TCCCATTCAATCCAGGACCAACTACTGCAGCACCAGTCAGAATGCTGAGTGGTGGTAGTCGGGCACCATCTAGTTCTTCTGGCTTAGGGTAGATGAGGTTGTGGGTCTTGTAGACTTGTTCCTTCTCTGTGCTTTTGTTTAGCTTCTTACTATTTTGCTCCTGGTGAGTCAAGACCCATAGTTGTGTCTTAGATGGCCACTCACAAGCTTTTAAGACCCTAGAGGCTACTCACTTCACTAGGATACAGACATATGATTCTTGTGAACTATACCAATTGACTGAGTTGTCCCATGAGACTGTGGTCCTAATCTCTTTTCTATTTTATTAACTTTGTATATGATCTGACCCTGACACATTTATTTCTGTTGCTTATCTCAGAAGGTTTGGTTCAGACAGCTTTTCTAACTTCAAAGAGGACCACTTTCTGTTGATTTTGGCATATTAAAAAATATGGTACTTTGCATTTTGAGATTTCCTAACTGTATCCCTCCCCGCTATTATCCGATATTCTCTTTCTTTATCTCTATTGTCTCTTCACTGTTACATTTGACTCCACAACCAAGTAGCTTCTTCCCATCAGAAGTCCTGTCTTTGAAGGGAGCCCCAGCTCAGGTCCATCGAATCTGAGACTTCACAGAGAGCAGACTGCTGCCACCACTCATCTGTCAGTCTGTCATACTGTGGTGGCTTGCATGTTGCTGTGATGCTGGAAGGTATGCCACCGGTATTTCAAATACCAGCAGGATCACCCACGATGGACAGGCTTCAGGGGAGATTCCACACAGACTGGGAGAAGGACCTGGTAATCTACTTCTGAAAAAACTGGCTGATGAAAACCTTATGAATAGCAGTGAACACTGATACAGTGCCAGAAGATGAGCCCCTCAGGTTGGAAGGCACTCAAAAGATGACTGGGGAAGAGCTGCCTCTTCAAAATAAAGTTGACCTTAATGACATGGATGGAGTAAAGCTTTTGGGACCTTCATTTGCTAACGTGGTATGACTCAAAATGAGAAGAAACAGCTGCAAACATCCATTAAAAATCAGAAGCTGGAATGTACAAAGAATGAATCTAGGAAAGCTGAAAGTTGTCAAAAATAAAATGGAACACTTGAAGATTGATATCCTAGGCATTAGTGAGCTGGAATGGACTGGTATTGGCCACTTAGAGTCTGACAAACAAATGGTCTACTATGCAGGGAATGACAAATTGGAAGAGGAATAGCATCACATACATTGTCAAGAACATTTCAAGATCTATCCTGAAGTACACCACTGTCAGTAACAGGATAATATAATACATCTACAAGGAAGATAAGTAAATACGACTATTATTCAAATACACGTGCCAACCAGTAATGTCAAAGATAAGGAAATTGAAGATTTTTACCAACTTCTGCAGTCTGAAATTGATCAAACGTGCAATCAAGATGCATTAAGAATTACTGGTGATTGGAATGCAAAAGCAGAAATGAAAAAAGATCAGACATTAGAAAATACGGCCCCGGTGACAGAAATGACACAGGATATTACATGACAGAATTGACACAGGAGATCATATGACAGAATTTTGCAAGACCAATAACCTATTCATTGGAAATATCTTTCTTCGACAACATAAACGGTGACTATACACATGGACCTCACCAGATGGAATACACAGGAATCAAATCAACTACAACTGTGGAAAGAGATGATAGAGAAGCTGAGTATCATCAGTTAGAACGAGGTCAGGGGCCGACTGCAGAACAGACCATCAACTACTCATACGCGAGTTCAAGTTGAAGCTGAAAAAAATTAAAACAAGTCCATGAGACCCAAAGTATGACCTTAAATACATCCCACCTGAATTTAGAGACCATCTCAAGAAGAGATTTGATGCACTGAACACTAACAACCGAAGAACAGATGAATTGTGAGATGTCATCGAGGACATCATACATGAAAAAGGTAAAAAGTCATTAAAAAGGAAAGAAAAGACCAAAATGGATGTCAGAAGAGACTCTGAAACTTGCTCTTGAATGCAGAGCAGCTAAACCAAAAGGAAGAAATGAAGAGCTGAACAGAAGATTTCAAAGGGCAGCTTAAGAGAACAAACTAAAGTACTATACTGAAATGTGCAAAGACCTAGAGTTACAAAACCAACGGGAAGAACATGATTAGTTCTTTCAGCTTGAGAAATGCCAAAGAAAAAAATTCAAGCCTCGAGTTTCAATATCGAAGGATATTACAGGGAAAATACTGAATGACACAGGAAGCATCAAACAAGACAGAAGTAATACACAGAGTCACTGTACCAAAAAGAATTGGTCAACACTCAACCATTTCAGGAGGTAACATATGATCAAGAACTGATGGTAGTGAAGAAAGAAGTCCAAACTGCACCAAAGGCAATGGTGAAAAACAAGGCTCCAGGAACTGACGGAATACCAACTGAAATGTTTCAACAAACAGATGCAACGCTGGAAGCTCTCACTCAACCATGCTCAGAAATTTAGAAGACAGCTACCTGGCCAACCAACTGGAAGAGATCCAAATTTGTGCCCATTCCAAAGGTGATCCAACAGAATGCAGAATGTATCGAACACTATCATTAATATCACACGCAAGTAAAATTTTGCTAAAGATAATTCAAAAACGGTTGCAGCAGTACATCAACAGGGAACTGCCAGATATTCAAGCTGGATTCAGAAGAGGACATGGAACGAGGGATATCACTGGTGATGTCGGATGGACCTTGGCTGAATGCAGACAATACCAGAAAGATGTTTACCTGTGTTTTACTGACTATGCAAAGACATTCAACTCTGTGGGTCCTAGCAAGTTACGGATAACACTGTGAAGAATGGGAATTCCAGCACACTTAATTGTGCTCACGAGGATCCTGTAAACAGAGACCAAGAGGCAGTCGTTCAATAGAACAAGAGGATACTGAGTGATTTAAAGTCAAGGAAAGTGTGAGTCAGGGTTGTGTCTTTTCACCATACCTATTCAATCTATATGCTAAGCAAATAATCCAAGAAGCTGGATTATATGAAGAAGAACACAGCATCAGGATTGGAGGAAGACTCATTAACAACCTGTGATATGCAGATGACACGACTTTGCTTTTTGAAAATGAAGATGACTTGAAGCACCTATTGATGAAGATCAAAGACAACAGCCTGACAACCAGATCAATAAGCAACATCATGATAAACAGAAAAAATACTGAAGTCGTCAAGGATTTCACTTTACTTGGATCCATAATCAATACCTATGGAAGCAGCGGTCAAGAAATCAAACGATGTATTCCACTTGGCAAATCTGCTGCAAAAGACCTCTTTAAAGTGTTAAAAAGCAAAGATGTCAGTTTGAGGACTGACATGCGCCTAACCCAATCCACGGTATTTTCAATCTCCACATATGCATGCAAAAGCTGGACAATGAATATGGAAGATGGAAGAATTAACGCATCTGAATTATGGTGTTGGCGAAGAATACTGAATATACCATGGACTAACAAAAGAACAAATAAATCTGTCTCAGGAGCATTCTGTACTTTGTACATGTTATCAGCAGGGACCACGCCCTGGAGAAGGATATCCTACTTGGTAAAGTAGAGGTCAGCATAAAAGAGGAAGACCCTCAATAAGATAGACTGACACAGTGGCTGTAACAATGGGCTCAAACACAGCAATGACTGTTAGAAAGGCACAGGACCAGGCAGCATTTCATTCTTTTGTACACATGGTCGTTATAAGTTGGAACCAACTTGACGGCCCCTAACAACAGACTGCTGCAGCCCCTCAAACCCTTAGTGCAGCCTGTTATCCTCGCCTGCTACTGCAGTGGGCCAAATCCCTCCCAGCTTCCAGACGGTCTTCCCAAATTGGCTCACTCACACTTTCCAGGTGTGCCCATTGGCTATTCTGGGGTTTTCTTGTTCTCAGTCCATCATTTATCAGAATGGCATATAATGCTAGTATGGCAAATTGCACATACAGTCAAAAATCTTTAAAAAAATAGATAATGAAAAAACAAATACAGGATGGACTCATAAGGCTTCATGGAACAAGTAGATTTTTAGATGAGTTTGGAACAATTTAAAGACACAGTTGAGGGGGAGTTTTAAGAAAATGTATTACAAGGCTAGAAAAAGTATAAACAACGACGTAAAATTAGAAATAACATAATGACCACACAGATTTTTTGCTGGGGTTTTAAAATTCAGATTTTTGTAGATAAAAGAGAAAGAGAAGAAACTGAAATCTTTCTTGACAGGAATAGAAGGAACAGGCTGCAGAGTAGTGGAAAAGGGCTGGTCAGACCCAAGTGCCAGATGATGGAGCCACCTAAAGGCCCGGTTGCGTCGTCAGTCCTGGACAGTAAGCATGAGAGGAATAGTATAAATGCTCTCACAAGGGAGTCAGAGGATGAGAGTCACACTTGGGAAGTCAGACAGGAGAGTGTCTGTGCAGGAACGGGGACAGATAAAAGGAAAGGGGAAGCAGAAAGATCAGTTGAAAGCTAACTGCAGTATGTCAGACAGCATGGATACAGTAGGGTCAAGGGAACTATAAGGCGGATCTGGCAGTCACAGAGACAGAACACTAAGGCGAGATTTCAAGATAACTAAGATTTCAAGCTTGAGAGAACAGCGGTAGGATTAACAAAAAGAGGGGAAGGGAGACTGTGGATTATCTACATTATCTTTAAGCAGGAGGTTAGTAAAACGGCGTCAAAATTTTGGTAATTCTTGAGGCTGGGTCACTGGGTTCATGGGAATTCATTGTACTATCCTTCCCACTTTTGAAACTGTTAAACACTTCCAATAAATAAGAGTTAAAAACATTTCTGAGAAGTGTAGGTTTCCTCATGGTCCCTTCTTATTCTATTTTTAGACCTAATCAGCACTTTCCCCATAGCATAAGTAACATTTCATAACAACCCATTGGAAAATATTTAATCCCTCATGAAAAAAGTGTAATGAGGAGCAAATTATCATTTAAATTATTACCTTGACTTTTTTCTATATTATCTCCTTTTGTTTCCTCTTCTTTAATGGGGGGACTTATCCTGGGAGGCCTGCTTTGCACTTGGACCACTTCTGCTAGCAATTCTTCTTGAGAAGTTCGAGTTCTAGGAGCAACTGGGAGTGTCTGTTTCTGTGGGACTTTTATATGAGGAAAAAAGATGGAAATGTAAATTCAGTGAGACATCGAAACTCAACAGCAAATATGTTATATTAAACATAAATGTTTCCTTGCGTTTATAACACATAAGGAGTTTGAAACAGTTCAGAAATACCACCTCATTTTCTTACAACACTCCTGAGAGATACTTTATCTATTACTCATACACACACACACACACACACACAACTATATGTGTTAAGCCACATGCCATAAACACATAATAGCACATATATATTTATTTGTAACCAAACGCAGTATAGTATTTGCTTTATGATCTTAGATCATCCAGGTAAAAAAAAAATTTCCATGCTATTTCTTTAAAACTTGTGGATCTCCAACTATTATAAAAGCAGGAAATTTCAAGGTCATAGCGAGCATATTTCTCATCATTCTAAATGACTAACATTGCTAATGGACCAGAAAAAGGAATGCAATCAGGTTAAATCCCTACGTAAAGTGTTGGGCTTTCCTTGACAATCCTTACCCTATATGCTAAGACCCATTTAATCTTACGTGCAAGGTTAAATTAAGATGAAGAGAAACAAGGGGAATACATGACTACTGGGATCAAAAATTGATAGCTAACAGTTTATTTTACTTTGGGAAGGAATCATCAAAAAAGGTGCAAGAGAGAATGGACAAGCAAAGCAATATTGGAAGAACATTCCTCAGATCCACAGAAGAAATAAAATAGATACATGCTAAAGACAGCAGTTATCATCAGCGTGTTAACAGCAAGCTGGACACACTGGTATTGCAGGTGGGGTACAGAGTATGGAATTTATTGACAACACAATATGGCGATCATCATTTAGTTTGCATTTCAGAATGACTTTCTGCAAGATCAGCTTATAGCTGATTCATCTCCTTTGTTTTAAATACATGTAACGCCTTTATATTCTCTCATAAATGATTTAGTACCTCCACTAGGACTGGAGTCAGTTCTTGCCTTATATTTCATTAGTGGGTTCCACTGAAAGAAACCGAACTGTTCATATAACACTATCTTTTTATTTATTTTTATTTTTTAATTTTTTCCCATACACAGGTTTATACATACACTGTTATGTGACTCTAACTGCTCTCCCCATACTGTGACAGCACACTCCTTTCCACCTGATTCCCCATGTCCATTCAACCAGCTCCTAACTGTCTCTGCCTTCCCATTTCACCTCCGGACAGAAGCTGCCTGTTTAGTCTCTCGTATCTACTTCAGCTAAGAGGCACACTCCTCATGAGTATCACTTTATGTCCCACAGTCCAGTCCAATCCCTGTCTGAAGAGTTGGCCTCAGAAATTGTTTTAGTTCTGGGCTGACAGAGAATCCAGGGGCCATGCTTTCCGGGGTTCCTCCAGTCTCAGTCAGACCATTAAGCCCGGTCTTCTTACTAGAATTTGAATTCTGCACCTCACCTTTCTCCTGCTCCATCTGGGACTCTCTGTTGTAATACTAGTCTTAATCAAACAAATTTCCCTAACTTTGGCCACTTAATATTATCCAATTTTTCTCCCTTTTCACCCATAAATTCGTATCTAATATTGAGTCTAATGCTATTGATACTAAAGTTCCATCTGTATCAAAACTCCCTTTAAATTTTTTTATTATATATTTCATGCACATTGGAATGAGAATAAGAGGCATTACATGGTGCTCAAAGAACTAAATTCTAGTGACAGCTGGGAAAGTTTCTCAAACTGCTCAAATCATCTTTTAAAATCACTTTTCCCTGAGCCTCATTTTAGTCCTGACATCTGGCAGGAGCCTTCATTTACCATGATTTAGAGAGCATTTATTTTCAGCTTACTCAAGAGTTACAGAAATCTCTCTTGCATTTATTTACCCAATGTAAACATTTAAATTACCTGTAGAATAGTTTGTTGTTTTTGTTACAGATTCTTGAGCTTCAGATATAGCTTTCAGAATTAGATTCTTGTTAGCTTGTTTAGAAGGTGGAAGCGAAGGTCTAAAAGAGTTAAGAAAGGTACTTTTATTACATCTTAAGTTGAGTTCTCTTTTGGGAGCCATCCATTACGCTTTTCCTACCGATTTCTCTTAGGTTCTGAACAGACTACCTGTAGTTTTTAGGAAGTGCCAACTACACTGAAATCTTGTGACTTGTTTTTTTTTAAATGAGTCTGATCAACAGTTTTTCCCATCATATTACAGTTCATAATATTCTCTGCAATCATCTCCATGTTAAGAAATGTTTCTCTCATTAATATAAGTGCTACTCAAACACCAGTGCAAAAATCTTACATGTTATAAAATTAAATTATTATTTATCTTCATGATTATCCTCTTCAGGAAACCCAAAAGACTCCACTGGCAGCTAAAGACCACCTTACAGACAGTGGAGGACTAATTTACAGACATGTTCAGGTACCTCCTCTCAGGCTTTGCTGGCACTGACACACTGCTGGAGACGCTTCCTGTTCGCGAGCCATAATCATCATCTTCCTCCTCTTCTTCTCCATCGTGACTGAATTTTTTTACTTTAATAACCGAACTTACCACAGGCAACTTTCTCTTCCGAAAGTTTTCTTCCTACAATAGACAAATTTAGAAACATTTACCTAGTCCCAGAAAATAACAAAGCTGCATCACAGAATATTTTTCCTTTTTAATAAAAGCCAGTCATAGGAAGAATTCATGGGATATATTTTTTTTTAAATAAAAATATAAATGTTATCCTTAATAGCCAATTTTTAGCTAAAATAAAAATTAGAGCTTTACACTCGTTTTATGAACATCTGCAGATAGTACTACTGAGGAACAGACAAAACGGAGTTACTTGGTTGCTTAGCAGCAACTACCGTAAAATATCTAAAACTGACCTAAAGCCTCCCAAAAGTTATGTTAAGGTGTGAAATATAGTGATGATGATGACATGTAATCACATTACAGAATATCTTAAAAGCATAAACAATGTAATTTTAACACAGACCTCTCCTACGGGTTACCTGCAGGAGAACCTGAGATTTGAGATCGGCTATCTCAGGTGCTAGCATCATAGGAAGGTACACAAGACAGAAAACCAGCTGTGGAGAGGAAAATCTGACTGGAGGAATGTGCTGAGTAGCACAGAAATCAGTTTAAAATAAACTTGACATGTATGTCTAGTTACTTCATCTACGTTTTAGTACCAAGAACTACCAAAGTTCAGCTGAACAAGCAAGAATTTAAAAGCATACACCAACCTCACTGCTCATTTTTTCTGAGTTGTTTCTGAAGAAGGGACTGTAAGTCTTGTCTAAGCTGTTCAGCACTTCTGGTTCACACAAGCGTCCGGCGTCATACACCCGGCTGTTCTGTGTGTCGACTTGTTTGGCAGCTTGAACACTGTTTTGCTGCTGTTGAAATTGCAACCTGTTTAAATGAGCACCACTGTCTGCATTTCGACTTGCAGGTGGCCGATAAATTTCAATAGAGGGGCGAGAAGATGCATACGTTAGTGTCACTGTAGGTTTTTTTTGAGATAAGGCATTCTCCTGCACAAAATTGAGATCTTCATCAATGAGATCATCTGGCTCAGGCTTAATATCAATCACATCTTCAGAGGGTGCGGGCTCCCTCAGAGGTTTCACTGTTGACATCAGTCGGGTTGCAGCTCCATCATCGTAAGTCTGTCTATTTTTTTAAAAAAAACTTGTTACAATCGATTTAGAGTAGTATCGTCCTATCTTCAAAGAAGAGTTCACTTAAAATATTTTAATGGAAAAGTCTGCGTACTCCCTTTGTGTACTCCATTATACACTGCTTCGAAATTGAATTGTTTAAAACTTTGATTTTCTACACTTGAAATAAAAGATAGTCACATTTATCCAAGTCTTCTTACCCATTCATTATTTTATTCAAAAAATTTCTCATGAATACCCCACTGTTTCCAAAAATTGCTACAAACAGCAATTTCAAGATATAAAAACTAACGTTAGATACCACATCCACATACCCACCCACCCAGAGCACATCTACACAGGACTCTTACCTGACACTGGTGCTTTTCTGTTCCTGTGAACTTGTGGAGACTCTGGTATCTCTTTTTTCAGACCTGGTGCTGGAAACTGCAAGGGGTGGTACCGCAGCTTCGTGCCTTCTCTCATCTCCTCGACTGAAACTGCCCTTGTTGAAAGGCACGTTACTATCAAAGATGCTGCTATCGGATGACTTCACGCTAGAGGGTTCTGGCAAGAAAAGGGCGTGATCTTTTTCATCTATTTTTATTCCTTCAAACGTTCCCTTCCCTCATCATCAATTTAAAATCAATACGTTTCTTGCAGAAAATTTGAAACATATTTAAAAAAAAAAAACAAAAACCAAAAAGAACTAAAACCCACCAATTATCCCACTGGTGATTTTTCTGGGAAAAGTATACATACATATTTTTTTGAAAACTGATACATACATCTTGTGTGTGTATATCAGAATTTATTCAATTTATTATTACTAAATTTTTACATAGTTTCCAGTTATGAAATTCTGAGACATCCTTGAGGCTAAATCTTTGCCCACCTGTATAATTATTTCCTTATAATACATAACTCTCCCTTAAATTACCTTTGAGTTATATTAAATTTATTGCTCTTAAATTCATAAAAATATATGCTTCCTAAAAATGTTCAAATGGACTACTGGTTTCAAATTTCTTTTTCTAAAGCAATATAAATGCTGAACTTTAGAAACAAATCATATGCTATAGGGAAAAAAAAAAGTTTTTACAAATCTTACCAGTTGTAACAGAGCGAAGTTTATCTAAAACACCATGAAGCCTAAAAGAAAAAGCAAAATATTAAAGCCTCCCTTAATCAAGAAACATTTTATTTCAACTGCCACTCTAAATTTGATGACATTATAAAAATCAGTATTTAGATAAATACTGACAAATGGTATTTAATAGAGTTAAAATTAATTTCCAAGTTTCGTATTAATAAAAAAGGTTTTACATGAATACTGCAGAGACTAATCAAAAATCAGATTATTTTTTCTTCACTGTTTTCAACATCTAGCCTCTACAAACATAAGGCTAAGTAAGGATCTCATCTGTCCACACCATCCTGACCTACAAATAATGTAACTTGGTTTCACAATGACTAAAGCCTCAATGTAGCTTACAGTAAAACAAGATAAAGTATCACGTACATGTTACATAAATTATTATAACTGCTTAAGCAGAGTTTAAATTTATTTTAACTATTTACATGGTTTCTTAGATAACTAAATTCTGAGAAGTGAAAAAATTTATAAATAATTCCAAGATATGCTATACCACTTCACTATGACTATTACTTTTAAAACGAATGCTATAAGCAAACATTAGACCGCAACCTTGCTTATAACATAAGCTATTATCATAGTTACAGAGGAAGCAAATTTGCCTTGCAGTCAAGAGGTCATGTTTGCTTAAAATATCAGAAAAATCACATTTTAACACTGTTTCACCCAGAATCCAGCCACACGCCACTGTCCCCAAGAACACAATTATTGCAGGGCTCCCAAGAATCCAGGATAGTCTGTTTCGGGCTGGTGTCACGAACACTTAGCTGAGGAAAAGAGAGTGCCAAAATTGAGACACCATCACTTCCATCAGTATATTTCAAAGGTGAAAAAGTTGAACTAATTTGATTTTAAATTCAGATTCCATTATTAACCTGTTGATGTAAGAAATCTGCCTCAAGTATTGCATCAAGTTCTCTGAGAAAGGATCTACCATGCTAATCTCAGATTAGTGGGACTCAAACCCAAAGTGTCCAGAAGTTGAACCAAGTCAGATCATAAAAAAAGTACAGATGTAAGTACTGCTGAAGATTTAAAAAAAAAATCTGAGGACAAACTGTAACAATGGATTAGGTCACCCACACTGAAGCAGGGTGCGTATCAAAACCTTTGAGGACCGCTGCTCTAACAACGTTCTTCAGAATGTGTGTAATATAAACCCAGAAAATTCTGTGTGGAATTTTTTGCAAGACTTCATGAGAACTACAAAGCATATAGCTGTCTGCTGGGGCAAAAACACCTTGAAAATAAAATCTGGTTTAAAGACAAGAAGTTAACCTGCTTCATCGACCTCTTTTAGTACCTCCGATTGAGACAGAATCAACTCAACAGCAACGGGGTTTGTTTCGGTATTCTTTCTCCCAGTCTCTTGCAATTCAAAAATGAAGCAGGCCATTTTGCTCCCTCAGCTCTTCCTTCATCATCCACTAGTGCCGTAATTTGTTCCTAGTCTGAGGGTTATATGAGTACTTCCTGCTCTTCTCTGGGCCACATCGTTACTCTCCCCCATCCCTCACTGTACCTCAGACCAGATACCAGGACATCTTAAACTGAATCGAACCCTTTTAATCAGTAATTCTCAAGTAAGGTATATGTGGTTTGAAAAGGGACGTTGAAACGTATGTTAACTCATACCTGAAAACAAAGTTGCCTATTTCAAAATTTTAAACCTTAAAGATGATTGAGGTTTTTGTCTGTCAAATGAAGGCAGGAGTTAAAAAGTAAAAAAAGCTAAAAAAAAAAAAAAAAAAAAAACCTTAGATAACTAAAAAGAACAAAAAAGAGTTAACTTGTTGGAATATAAGGAATATAAGAAGTTAACTCAGCTCAAACAACATATGTAATTGGTTTTAGTGGAGGGAAAGGAATTATGAGATACAGAAGTTTACAAACAAAAGTTACTACAGCTCACACATACTAAGGACTCACTATGACAGGCACATTGTAAGCACCTTACATGTATTAGCTCATTTAATCCTCACAATAAGCCTAAAAAGGAGGTGAGTTACTATCCCCATTTCACAGATGGAGAAACCAAGGCCAGCAGCAGAGCCAGGATTAAACTCTGGCAGTTTGGCTCCAAGGCTGTGCTCTCATCACTCACAACCTGCCTGTTCACACTGAACCTAACTCGCCTGTCAAGTAACTCTTTCCAGACAGAATGCCTACTCTGACTTGTCCCAAACTGTGGTCTGAGGCGTAGATATTCGAAACATACCATACGGTGAATCGAACTGTGTTGTTCCCTAGAAACAGGGACAGGTCCTCTGTCATTTGGTCCTGACTTTTCTTGTTGGCCACCATCACCATAATGTAATCAGGAAGTTCTTCATCTATTTAAAAGGAAAAATATATCAAAACTTTTCTACGTTTTCCTCAATATTTTCCTCTACTGATGTGCTCGAAAATATAGACGCAGCTCTAAGAAGAATCACTATCTCAGCTCTACTGAAATTATGTTGGACAAGAATGCATAGCTTTGATTTTTTTTCTCTTCATTCCTTAAGCATTTCAATGACTAGAAAAAAAGGAACTAGGAGTAAATAAAGAACATTTGTAACTAAGATCTTCTAAACTACAGTATAAACTTGAGACTGCATTCACTTCTGCGAAAGGAATCTTTTCATTGCTCACTAACTTCAGAGATGCTTTCAGAAAGTATCTGGACATTCCTCAAAAAGAATAAATTGAGATTAGTTTTGTGTTTGCTTATAATGTTTCAAAATGATACTAATTTCTCAAGAGAAATTTTTTATCCTTTATTTAGGCAGATTTCAGTCACTCAGGGTAACAAACTTGCAACAACATCAAATAAACAAAAACCACCCCAAAACTCTACATCATTTAAAGAATTCAATTTCAAGATTCAATAATTTCAACTCAATTCATTCTTTTACTTTTATACCCTCCCACACAGAGTTATGAAGAAAGAGCTCTAAGAACCAAAAAACAAACAAAGCCAACAAACCCACTTCAGTAAAAAGATGAGGAAGCAAAAGCCACTTATCAGGACTCTAACCCCTGCACAAATAACTCCTTTAGATTTCTTTAATACCTTAAATACTCATAATATTTCTATGTAAGGCAGAAAGGTTCATTTCAGAATTACCATCAAATATTTGTTTCAAGGAGAAATATCAAAAATCCGGTTCTAGAAGAAGGCACAAATACATTAAGAAAGCCCAATCTATGAAAGGAAAGAGAGAAATCAGAACATTGGATGGAAGCTTACATTATGAAGTGAGAAAATGCCCCCAAGGATAAGTACCCAGCCATTTAATTATTCCCTATGCAGATTATCAAAAGGCTCCCAATGCTTTCTGGCAATTCTGATAAATAAGCCTGGTAGCTGATTTTATGCTATGATTTCTTGAACACCTAGGATGGGCCATCACTCAATTCAGGAAAAGTCAGTAGACAAAAAATTGGGGTACCTTGGCAGCTTTGACCATTTTTCTCCCTCATAATGTCAGTGATGAAAACAAACACTGTGCTTTCTGCACTATGTATTGGTTTGTATTTTCCAAAATTTTGTAAGATTGGATGTGGTTGCTTGGATGCAAACTAAGGGCAAGGAAGGGTAGGAAGGATGAAATTACAAAGGAGCCCCAGGAAACTTTCAGGGGTGATGGACATGTTCATTATCTTGATTATAGTGGTTTCATGCATATATACACTTCAAAACATACCAAACTGTACTCTTAAGTGTGTACAGTTTAACGCATGTCAATTTTATCTCAATAAAGCTGTTAAAAATCAATAGGTTGTTTTCTCGGTAGATTAGTGTCCTTGGGTAACGAAAACGGTTAAGCACTCAGCTGCTAACTGAAAGCCTGGCAGTTCGAATCCACACAGAGATGCCTCAGAATAAATGCCTGGGAATCTACTCCCAAAAGGTCACAGCCACGGAAAACCCTTTGGATCCTAGTTCTACTCTGAAACACATGGGGTTGCCAGGAGTTGGAATCAACTCAACAGCAACTGGTTTGGTTGGATTTGTTTCTTCTCAATAGACATACAATGGGAAATAAGAATGTAACAAAAAAAGTAAAATGTAATCATGATACTGCGCTACAGAATTCTGAAGGATTTCTCAGGTTCACTTGAAATTAGTATACTGAAAAGAAAAAGGCAGTAAAGTATTTGAAGGCTTCTTCTAAAATATCAATGAAAAACTGTTCTGAATTACCATTGCCATCTCACTAAAGTGCTCCATTTTAAACACACACACAAAAAAGACCTTATCATCTCTAAAATGGGTTGTTCACCTTTGTATCCCATCCAATCTCTTTTTAAAAGAGATAGCCAAGTGCTTATTAAAGAATTGTTTTCATAACCTCAAAGGTAAGTGAAAATGCTTTGAAAACTATAAAATACGTATTTTTACTACAATTACATTTCCATCTTAGATTACATTAAACTTTAGCTAGGTTTTTAACAAACTCAAAATTCCTGTCATAAAATTTTTGATAAAAGATGTTGTTGATAGCTGTCATCAAGTGGATTCCGACTCACAGCAACCCCATGTATACAGAGTATAAATGATGTTGTTCAGTGATGTCAAGTCAATTTTCAACTCATAGCGGCCCAATGTGACAGAACAGAACTGCCCCATAGAGTTTTCTAGGCTTAATCTTTAGGGAAGGAAGACTGCCAGTCTTTCTCCCACAGAGCCGTTGAGTGGGTTCGAACTGCTGACCTTTCAGTTACCAGGTGAGCACTTAACCATTCATTGCGCCACCAGGGTTCCTTGTATAAATGAGAGTAGTCACTAATAAAATTGAATTTATACTCAAACATGTTTGTGCTTTCATGTGCTAGAATAAAGAAAATTCTTAGTGTAGCTTTTCTGTGGATTTCTCTTTTTGATCCAAAGCAAGTTCCTGGCATATAGGTGGCATCCATCAAATGTTAAAGGAATAAAAGAATAAATAAACTCTGGTTCAGCTTCATCTTTAACCTCTCTGGGCTCAATTTCTCCTCTGTTAAAGCCTTACAATTCTGACAACAGATAATTTATGAAATGCACCCAGCACATGGTAGGTACTCCATAAATTAACAATCCTCACACTTTTTGGTCTCAGGCCACTTTTACACTCTTCAAAACTATTAAAGACCCCAAACAGCTTTTGTTTATGTAGGTTGTATCTATTGATATTCACATTAGAAACTAAAACTAAGAATTCTTAAAAACGTGTATTTAAGAGTAATAATACAACCACTCCTCACTTATCAAGATGGTTAGGTTTCAAAGACTATCATTATGTGAAGATGGGCATTATGCGAAAATGGAGGAAGATCACATCAGATCACAAAATATTATGTGGGACACATATGTCCCTTTGGACCCAAGAGGCAGAAACGGGAGGTGGATGTTCTATGTCCCACTGTTCATGAAAGGATTACTGCCAGATGTATATTGTTAACGTGTAAAATAGTCAGTATATTTTTTACTATTGTTGTAAACGCAAAATGTCAGATGAGATAGTGAGTTTAGGTGTACACCTATAACATATTAACAATAAATCCATTCTGTTAATAAAAGTAACATTATTTCTATGAAAATCAACTGTATTTTCCAAAACAAAAATAAAGATTTAGCGCAAAGAGTTGTTTTGTTTCATATTTTTACAAATTTCTTTAAGATCTAGCTTAAAAGAAAATGGTTGGATTCTCATTTCTGCTTCTGAATTTAATTTGTTGTGATATGTTGTTTCAACTGAAGATGAAAAAAATCTAGTCTCACTCAGATATGTAGTTGGAAAAGATAAAGTATTTTATAGCCCTTTCAGGTAATGTGGACATTCTTGGGTGATACTACACTGTAACTTGACAATTGGTAATTTCACAAAGGTTGGCTGAAATGCGGAATCTAAAACTCCAACAATAAGCTTTTTTTTTTTTTTACTGTTACACAAAAATCCATTGATCCACCTGCACTTTTAATGGATCTTTTGACCATGAGTAAATTTGTAACATTATATATTGGTTATTGGGAAAATACTTGTTCACCGAGCTATGTAACCTGTGGACGTGTTGATATATTTCATTACACGATAAAAAAAAGACTCATATTCCTTGATATCACCACTGATTTCAATGAAAACGTCTTTAAATACTAGGAAGCTGTCAAGGCCATGGAGACAGACACAAATTTTCCAAAATTCTAATTTTCATATGAAAGCTCAACTTTTGTCATTGGCAACAATAACTATCAGTTCTTTCCCTTTGCTCACTTTCAAGAGGCTGTCTGCCAAATACCTAAGTGTACATAACCACAGTCTGTCAGTCCTTCTTAGACATTAAAAATTATGTTCCATGTTTTGATCAAAAAGATTTTATATGAGCATCTTGATCAAAAGGGGGAAAATGTAGAATACAATTTAAAATTATCATGGAATCCAGACTTTCTGGAGTCACTGACACTGGATGAACTCCCAAAACTACTGCCCTCCCATAATCTTTAAACCTTAAACCAAAAATATGCCTTGAAGTCTTTTTTAAACCAAGTAATAGTTTAGCTTAATTAGTAAAGAATGTCTACCTTGAGCAATGCACTCTTTTAAGAACTATCTATATGGTATCAAATCAACAACATCAACTAGAAAGATTAGATAGGAAACTTAGGGTGCAGTGAGTTTACATTAATGGGAGAGGGACAATTCAGAAAATGAGGGTGAGAATGGTTGTACAACTTGAAGAATGTAATCAATGTCCCTGAACTGTACATGCAGAAATTGAACTGGTTTATGTTCTGCTGCGTATATTCTCAACAAACAAAATTTTTAAAAAATGATATTCCATTCAAAGGTGGTAGTTCAGTTCCCAACTCTATCACATAGAAGTTTTTCCATAAGACAGCATACTTCAGTATACAGAAGTGCTTTCAGAGTACTTCCTATTTACTCACTCTGAATATTAAAGAGATGTAGTCAAGAGCCAGGGTTTAAAAACACACTGCTACTGCTTAATTAATGACATTCTTAAGTTCAACTGGCTTTTTTTTTTTTTAACTGCAAGTTGGGAGTGGTGAATAACATGATTTCTAGTACGAGTTTGGTGTGACTATCTTGATTCAGGCTAAGATACAACAATTTTACCCACCATTGCTTGTGCACAATCCAAATGTCAACACAGTGAAAATGGCAGGTACCATCTTAATATACTATGAAAACAGCTTTGACTTCAGACACCCTGGGGGTCTCCCACACTTAAGAATTGCTCTCTAAGTAGTTGTTATTACTTTTATAGAATGTACGGACTTTGAAGCCAAATACACCCAGTCTTGCTCAAGTAGGTATTCAAAATCTGTTTCCACGCTTGTATAATTGTGGATATTACCAGGTACCTTCCCATGTTCTCCTGGGGATTATCATGTTAATTTACAGCAGTTAAGCAAAGTAACTGGCCCAGAATAAACATTCAAATTATAAACCACAAAAGAATGCGGGAGAGGAAACGTTACTGTCGCAAAGTGAGAGAAAAAGGGGTAGAAGAAAATAGTTATCTGAAATCAAAACTCAAGGAACCATTAGAGACAAATGCCAGAAAGCCTCAACCGTTCATATCCAAACTAATAGTTCTGAAAACAAGACTAGGAAATGAAACTACGGAAAACAAAATAAAACCGGACAAACATTAAGGAAAATATGATAGAACCTTAACAGAGGCAGCCAAACAATTTCCAAACACCGTATCAGAAAGCGGTTTAAAAAAAAAAAAGATTTGAAAAGACAGAAGTGCCCTCTCCAAAAACACGACGGGAAAAATGCATTCACTAAAACTCAGTAAGCTGCAAACTCTAAATTTTATTAGGCTAACAACAACAAAAAACAAACTTACCAACATAAGCTCCTAATTCTTGCAATTTTCCCTTAATGGCACTCTAAGGGGAGGAAAAAATGTGCATATCAGAAAAGTGGCTCTTAGAAGCAGCGCGGAGGCAACTCTGATGGTGCACACAGCTCCGCCTGCTCCTCGGGGGCCCGGGCGGGGGGCGAGGAGGCGCCTCGGCTCTCCCCTGCCCCCGCGGCGCCCACCTCCAGCCGCGAATCGAGAGCTGCTCTCACCCGGCTGGCACGCGTCCTTCCGTTTCCCGAGGGCTACTTCTTCATCCGCAGCCCGGCCGCGCAATCGGAGGCTGCGTCTGCGCTCAGGCCCGAGGTGGCCTGGGCGAGCAGGCGCCGCTCGCCGACCTGCGGCCCGTCGGGAGCGCCCGGGGCTGGCAGGCCGCGGCGGCCAGGCCGGGCCCACCATCCCCGTTACTCCTGACAACCGCACGCCCGCCCGCCCTCCGCGGCCCAGCCCCGGGCCCGCTTCCCTCCTCCGCCCTGCGCCGGCAGGCGCTCACCCGGATCTTGCGGCTGATCTCGGTGCCGATCTCCATGGCTCCGCGGGCGGCGGGCTCGGCACTGACGGCGCTTCGCTTACCCGGAGCCCGGCGCCGGCTCCACTCGGCAGACCCTCCGCCACCGCCGCCGCTCCGCCCACGGCCGCGCGCACTGCGTGCCCCACCCCCGTCGGCCCGGCGCAAGAGAGCGAGCTAGGGCGAGCGCGGCTGCGCCTGCGCATGCGCCCGCCTCGGCCCGCGGAGCCTGAGCTCCTGCGCCCTCTGCTGGCAGCAGAGAGGAGAGAGGCCCCGTCCGAGCCACTTCGGGCAATTCATGTTCCCCCTTTCTGGCCTCCGCTTATCCGTCTTACTCTCCTTTGGAAAATTAGGATGAATTAAACGTGCAGCAGAAAGACCCCGGGCTTTGATGTGAGATCTCAGTTCGAATCCGTCTTCCACTTACTATTAATGTGGTTTTGATCCAGATATTTAAACTTTTGAGGCTCAGTTTCTTACCTGTAAAAATATAGACAAAATAACTGCTTTTTTCACACAGCTTATAAAGACAATGCTCTACATTCTACCTTGGTGAGTAGTGTCTGGGGTCTTAAAAGCCTGTGAGCGGCCGTCTAAGATACTCCACTGGTCTCATCCCCTCGGGAGCAAGGGAGAATGAAGAGAACAGGATACAAGGAAAAGATTAGTCC